ACTGAAAAGGCAGAGCTCTTGAAAAAGAAGAAGCATCCATTGCAGTGCTGTCAGAAAGAAAAGGCATCTACAAAGAAACGGAAAAAAAAAAGGATTTGTAGCATTTGCACATGAAAAACCCAGATTTGAGTGAAATCCGAGAGTCTGAGTAAATGTGCAAACTGGTTCTGTAGTTTCAGGTTCATTGGTTTTGTTTTTTAAGATCTTGGGTTGAGTAACTTAAAAAATACGGCTTTAATCCTTTCACCACCAGAACCTTTCAGCTGGCATCTTGTTGCATGGCCAGGTGAGAAACCTCCTGAACTCGTAGAAGTCACTAAGCTCAGAAGTGGCGATATCTCTTTGTGCACTAAAGAGTAATTTTTCATGATTACTGAAAAAAACGACCCTCTTCAGTCCTCTCAGCAACTGTGGTTTTAGCTCACTTAAAAAATAACAGTAATAGGGTGTACGTATAGACAGCCAGCTGGCCAGCAAGGCTCTCTTACTCCTTTTGGACTGGTGCAAAACACGATGTGTAGCATTTGTCTTTGTTAGATGAATAATGTAGTAATGTGGTTAATACGCATGGCCTATTGCTGTTTTATTAGTGGGGATTAATAGCGTTGGCTCAAAACCCGAGCTCAGCTACCCTGTCTTATGCTGCGTGTATTGGACAGGAGGGTAGTTTCTAAAATGATGAATGAGAGAGACACTCTCCAGAACCCTACTTAATTCCAGCAGAACTGTTTTAGGGGCAGGAAGTATTGGCAAGCCAAATAATTTTTCGTCTCACAAGCGGTTGTGATTTGATGATGATTATAGAGGAACACAATGAAAATAAAATAAACTTTCTGATAATTCAGCTGGTGGCATGTCAGCATTCACTGCCTGAGATGTGGCCAAGTGATCTCTGTAGTGCAATGGTCCTTTTTTTTAAAGAGCAATTAATTTGAGAAGCTTCTCTTGAAATTAGTCATGGGGTCAGGTACTTCTTCAGTATGATTATTTACCTGCAAATGATCTAGTGTCCTATTTTCCCTGAGCAAAGGATGGATCAAAAGTAGGATTACACCGATACCGGGTAGTTAAACTGTGCAATTGTGCCTTCCTAGCTACAAACTCCACTGCCGCCCTCCAGGTTTTGGCATGCTGCTGGGTGCAGGTTGGACGCAGGTGGAGGAGCACAGTCCCTGACAATTCCTGGGCAGGCTGGGGAGCTGGCTGGGTACCACCATCCTGTCTGCATGGCACGAGAATAAGACGGTTGTGAGCCATTCTGGCTCTGTGGTCAGAGCACAGCACTGAGCACGCATCGTTTCATGGCACAAAGACTGCAAGACCATGGCACAGTTTGAGGCCCCTCCTTGCATCCCAAGACTTCTTTCTCCCACCTTTTCCCTGGTGCAGTGACTGTCCCAGCTGCATCACTCCCTTCTGGACCTTCCCGTGTTCCTGCAGCTCCTTCTTTTCTCTCGGCGATGCTGAAAAGGTTACCTGGGAAACCCACTGCACCTTTATTCCAGGTGCAGAAACGTGCTTGTCTCTTGGCTATTTGATAAGCTAATTTTGTAAAGAAGCTTAATGGTTTGCTGTGCAGTCAAGAGAGATTTCTGTCAGCCTAACAAGAATATATTCCATTTAGATTTTTTTTTTTAAATTGGTCATTCTCTGCAGAATTGTTAAAACTTAGCCTTTGCTTTAGGAGAGCCTGAAATGGGTTGTAGAGCTATTACCTGGGCCAGTCACCAAATGCAGCCTCAGAGAGAGAAACTCTGCAAGAGGAGGCAGGGCATGGGCAGAGGGACCCCGGGGGAGGCAGAGCCCTGGTCCCTGCCTGTGCCATGCTACAGGATGGAGCTGCCTGCTCTGCCTGGTGCGGGGGCAGCTGCCGCGGTGCCCTGCCTGCTTATGCTGCAGCATGGTCTGACAGCAGCGTGGCTTTCTTTCTGGTTTGCTGTGTCACTGGAGGCCACCCAAAAGGATGGCAATATGCTGGCCCTGCACTTGTGATGGGAGAGCTGTGACTGAGCTCCTTGAAGCATCTCCCCATGCATGCCGGAGACTCTGGGGACTGTGGTGCAAGGAAGGTCCTGGTCAAAAGAATGAAATCCAAATTGAAGGGAAATCTAAGCCAGTGTGGTAATTAAAGCAAGACAGGGTCTGGAGTACTGTGGTTGCCTATGGCGCTGGAGTCAGCAGGTCTCCCATGTTTTTCCTGCTCTCCACAGGCACATTCTGCTCACCCCAGTAGGTCTTTGAGAGCTGCTGAAAACTAATAGAAGCTCTGGGAGATCTGGCCGCTGACGCTTGACACGCTGCAGAGAAACTATGTTCCTACCACTGCTTAGCAGCATTAGTAGGTCTAAAAATGACCATTCCTGCCAAAAAATGAAGTGCTATCATTCAAAATTGGATTTTTTTTTTTTTAGAAGGGTTGAAGAGCCCTTGCTCCAGAGGGCCCACCTGACTTCCACCAAGCTATGCAAGGACATCTGCTTTCTATTCCAGCTACTTCTGGGCCACCAAGGTATTGTAGAATCATAGAACAGTTTGGGCTGGAAGGGAGCTTAAAGATCACCTAGTTCCAACCTCCCTGCCATGGGCAGGGATACCTTCCACTAGATCAGGTTGCTCAAAGTCTCATCCAACCTGGCCTTGAACACTTCCAGGGATGGGGCATCCACAACTTCTCTGGGCAACCTGTTCCAGTGTTTCACCACCCTCAGCATAAAAAATTTCTTCCTTATATCTAATCTAAATCTACCCTCTTTCGGTTTAAAACCGTTACCCCTTGTCCTATCAAAGCGCCCTGGCTGGCGTGCTGGGAGCTCCTGCCTCCAAGCTTGCATAGCTTTGCAGGAGGTCAGGTCTCTTTCTGCTGCGCGCCTGGCAGCTCCTGGGCCCTCAGGCAGAGCGCAATGGCCAGCCTCGCTGAAGGCTGCTGCAGGAAAGACAACTGGAGCGTGAGCATGTGTGCCAGGGGTGCCTCACAGCGTCCCTCCTGCCATCCTCCAAGGATACATTTTGCTTAGTCTCTGCAGGTACTGTAAGACGATCTGCCATATAAGCTGGAGAGCCTTTTCCAAAACAGCAATTGATGCCTTTACTGAGGGCTACATAGAGTACAGATGCGTTTATTTCTGTTTCACAGATACCAGGAATTACAAAGAAGTTAAAATGCAGCATCTTAAGATGTGTCCTGCTGTTTCCTCTTGCATTTACACAGTCTATGTGAAGATTTCTTTTATGCTTCAGCTGAAGACAGAAATAAGGTATTTTTCTACTTCTGATAATAAGCAACTACTCATAATACATTAAGGTGCAGGTAAAATAAAGGCAGAAACCCTAAAATACCAGGCTTCCCAGTCAGGAAGCACTGAAAATATACAGTTTTCTTTGGAGAGCTGACTTTCTGTTTTACTTTGCAGTCAGCTAATGGTAAAATGTAGTGATTTTTCTTCTAGGTTACCTACTAGAAATAAACGGGAAGGCCAGGGCTGATAACTCTGAAAACTGATCACAAACAGCTGCTCTGCAATAGTGTGCAAGTCCCTCCTAAGATGGATGATCGCTGGCTGCAGCAAGGCAGCACTGGGGGCGTGCCTCCTGCTTTCACTGGGGGATCCACGCCACACCAGGCCCAGGTACCACACCGATGCTGGCATCCCGCCCCAAAGGGATTGTACAAATCCTATGCTCCCTGTTGGCTTCCAGGAGCCTTGTTTGCCTAAGTGGTGGGATTTGAACTCTGGGATGACACTGCCTATGTACTGGATGGTGGGCTCACTCCCCTTTTCATCTTATATCCCACGCCGGGGACGTCATTCGAAGAGACAGTGCCAAATTCAGACCTGGAGGCTTGCACAGCGCAAGGAGTGAATTTGGCTGGTTTTAAGTGTCCGGAATATGAATTTCATGCAACGCTCCCTTAAGTGAGATCTGAATCAAATGATATTGCTGCATTTTTCTTCTGCTAAGACAAAACAAGATCTTCCTTCAAAGCACCGTGTCTCAACACTTCTTGTATGACACTTCAATTCTAGTACGTCTTCATTTGTAAATACTATATAGAAATGAGCTTCTAAATATTGATTTGCAAGATGAATTGGTCCCTATTCCAGCGGCACCAATCAGAAATCAGTTGGTGAGGATCTTCACGATCTCACTCAGAGTTGGTCAGGAGGGCTTTCTCCTTCATGCTTCCCGAGCAGCTGCACTGTCTCTCGTGCTTCACCTCCCTTCGCCACTCACCTCTCCTGTGCCATCTTGCTGTGCGAGGTGTTATTTTGTCAGCAGCAGTTTTGCTCCAGCTGGGCTTCCAGGAATGTGCTTGAAGTTCTCGTGGCGTGGGGTTGGGTTCAGCGGCAGTACTCCTGCTCGATGCTTGCCATAAGCTCCTCCTCTGAGTAATCATATGATATTGTGGACTGTCCCGCCGGCTTCTTGCTGTTCCTTTGTGGGCACCTGCCGGGGAAGGGAATGAGTTGTTGGTGTTACGAGAGAGAATCAAGCTCTGAAGACACAAGATGACCCTTACTTCATTTTTTTTGTGAATGGAAAGATCAAGCTGCACGTGGCTTGCTGAGACACAGATACTCTGTCATGTCTAGTTCCCATACCCTACAGGCAGATCGCTTGCTGACATTTGTTATCACTTGGCATCTATTTCAGTCTGCAAGTTCATTAGAGGACAGCCCTTACGATGCTCCAGATCAAACTCCCAGAACCTTTTGGTGAGTTAGGTTTCAGGCCCAGCTAAAGGACTGCATGACCTTTATGCTAGTTACTAGTTTTAAGGTTTTATGCAGAAAGAGATTTTTTGTTTGTATCTGTAAGGGATTTGAGTTTCAACCAAAATATGAATGCAGCTACCTCAAACTGCTTTTATGGCTTTTTTTAATTTTCACATCAGCACAACTCTCCCGCGAGTGGGAACTGATGATTGAAAGGGATGATCCAAAGGGAACTGGTATGGGTTTTATCGGTATTATCAGAGGTGGTTTATGCTGGATACAAGGGAAACCTGTCCCTACCTGCATGAGGGAGAACAGTGAAAAGTCTTCTGCAAGCTTTGACCGCTGTAGGTCATGCTACCAAATAAGTCTACTTGATCTTCCCCTCCAGGACTCAAGAGAGGGGACAGCAGCTGACAAGCAAGCGCTCCTCCTTGACCTCGTAGAGAACTGGGAGGTGAGCAAGCTGGGCCATCAGACTAGTCATCTCTGGAAGTTGGGGCACATGGCTCCATGAAATGGAGGTCATGCTGAGATGCAGAGCTAAGCTGGTAGACTTGAGTTGGTACATCCAAACTGTAAAGTGCCCTGCCATGCCATGTCAGCTGAGATTGGTGGGTTTACTTTGTGGCCATCTACTGGTGGAGAAAAAATAAGCAAGAAATAAATGATTTTGTATGGTGGGTGTTTGGTTGCCAAAGAGGAGAGATTTTCATATCCAATAGCATGGCTCCAAATCTGTCCCAGACTCATTACATAGCATCTATGGACTTACCACTTCTCTAAGGATGAGATCTGTCTCACCCTTGGTCTTGTAGCTGGGATGAATTTGGTCATTCGCATCCTTCAGTGAAAAAACTGAGGACCTATTTATTAGATGAAATCACATGAGCTGCCCCAACACAGGGAAGTAAATGTAGAGTCAGAATCGAAGAAAAGAGCCCTGAAGTGCTTTTCTAAGGAAACTTTGTCCTATAGGGGAAGTGCTTTCATAAGCCCTTAGCTGTCTTTGACAGCCGAGAACTGCTGTCCTTGGGTGAGGGAGCATCCGCAACCCTCCTGAAACAGGCAGCAGCCAGTCTCCTGCCGCTGTTGCTGTGGAGCAAATGTCACCAATGCAACCCTTCCTCTGTTCTTATCTGTCCAGGTCAGAAAGGCTTCTGCCCAGTCCAGCTGCTCTGACCTAGCTGTGTTAACACCGTGCCCCCTGCGTGTCAGAAATAGTTTGATGTTTTCCCTGGAGCGACCTGATGACCAGCTGGCGTGGCAGCTGGGTCATGTGGGTGTCCTACGCTTATTTATGCTGCCCTGTGCCCTTGATGGCAAGTTCTACTGGCAGCAAGATGGCAGCAAGTAGGGTTTAGCAAGTAGACTCTTCTGCTTAGTCCTTTTATTCATTTTCCTTCTAATGGACTGCAAGCAATGTGGTTTCTACCACAGTAAATGAGAGCTGGGAAGAAAGCTAAAAGTCCAAGAGCTTGAACCATAGGCCAGCAGCTACAAAGCAAGAACTGGGAAAAGGAAATGCAGAAATCTGACTTAAACACATGATTTATTGATTTAAACTCTGCACTGTGACAATCCTTAAACTAATTTTATATGACGTGATGAATTAGAGGCAGAGCTCTTGGCAGTTTGCTTGCAGGCCCACAGAAGTGTCATTGTTTCTCTTAGCGGTTACATAATTTCCCAGTGTTAATTATTCTCGATTCTTTGGCTTGCGTGGTGACCTCCGAGCAGGGGGGAAAATCTCCAGGTAAAATTGGAACTCACTGAAACATAGATGTGCTTTTAAAAAGACAAAAGCAAACCCCACCTACCATGCACATCCCAGAATTGAGAGGAGTAGAGAGGACTGTTGATTTCAAGAGCAAAGGAAAAGCAAGTTGCTGCTCAAGTTCTTTCTCTCTATTGTTGTGGCAAAGTTCTGTATCATTTAATACGGAAAAATGGAAATAAATGAAAAAATCAGAGGTTCTACCTGGATAAAAGGAGAAACTTCTGCACCCTGAGGACAGCAAGCAGAGGAACAGGCTGTGGTTGCACAGGCTCCATCCTTGGAGGCTTTCAAGACCTGATGGGACAAAGCCTGGAGCATTCTGCTTTGACCTCACAGCTGATCCAGCTTGGAGCAGGAGATTGGACTAGAGACCTCCTGAGGCCCTCCTAACCTGAACCTTGATCTGAAAGGCACATTGGTGCAGCAGTTTCTGCTCATCCTGGAATTAAGTGAGAAGCTGTGGCTGGGAAATCCTGAGCACAGGACGTGGGCAGGAAAGGAGCTGGTGGACCACAAGCTTGCTCCTGCACTCCTCCAGCTGCTCCGGCAGGAGAGAAGGCCCCTTGCAGCCAGGGCTGCAGATCAGGGCTTGCAATCACGCTAAATCCAGCTGAGGGCTGTTAGACTTTCCAATTCGGAAAATAACAGGTCAGTACATTGAGGGGAAAATTTTTCAAACCCCAGATGTTCCGGGGGAGAGAGAAACCTGGAAAGTTTTTGAGAGGCAAAGAGCAAGCTAAAAAGCGTATGAGAGGGGAATTTGCAGCATAGTAGGACAGCAAAGAAAAAAAAGGCCAATGCAACTCCATCAAGATTACTGTGCAGACTTCTGGGTATTTTGTTACCAAAAAGTTATTAACAGCTTGGAGGGAGTTTAGAAAGCAGCAATAAAAGTGATTTAAGGGGCTAGAGCTAAGCAATTTCAGAAAGAGGAAAGCAAGAAATGTGCTCCATTTCAGCTAAAGGCCTCTCTGTGTTTAAAGATTATCCTCCTTAAAGAAGGAGGATTTTTTTTTTTTTTTTAATGGAAAGACAATGAACTATGCAATGAGGAGAAGGAAATGCAAAGGGCAAAATTAGACCGAAAGTGAGCAAAAACCACCTTTGAGCAAGATGCTGGGGGTGGTGTGCCAACCTCCCCAGCAGTGGGGATGACTGGCAGTGCCGCGTCCCTGGTGTCAGGCAGCTGCCTGGTGCGGGGGAGAGCTGCCTGCCGGCTCTGGTGACAATATCCCTGATGGGTGGCTAGGGTGACAAGCTCCTAGGTAGAAATATGAGTTAAGTGGCTGAAAATTGGGTTGGGGTGAATCTAGGCCACCGTTTTTTATTGTTTTGCTGCAGATGGGAAAGTCCAGGGTTAATAATTAAAATGCCTTCTGCAAGACCTTGCAGCTGAAAAATGGGTCAAAAAAACGCCCGGTAACTCTGCCAGTGACACGAGCCCTGGCAGCAATTATACGATCATTACAGTGTTCCTGGGCTGTGTCATCCCACCCGTGCACTACCAGATGCTAGAGAGCAGTTCACAAAAGAATTGCAGGGGGAAAGAGAGGTAACACAGCACGATCAGGAATACATCCGTGTTCCCATGCACATCAAAGGTATTTATTAGGGCCTGGTTTAGATGCTTATGTGGTGTCACACAGGAATATTTGCAGTATAGGAGGTGCACACCTACAGCATCTATCTTGCGTGACTGCTCTCTTGGCAGATAGTATTAAATCTCTAGATCTAGTTTTTTTTCTCCCTGCTTGACATTTATTTCTTCTTTAATTGGCTTTATGGGAATTTCTTCAGTCAGCAACTCTATCAAGACAAGGCTGATTTTTGCTGCTTGTAACGTGTTTATCTGGAATAATTCTAGCCGCAGAAGTGTGAAGGATGAGACACCTACACACATTAACCGCTGTTTCTGGGGCTTGATTTGATTTCTTCAAAATGCAGTTTTGCTGGGTGTTGGACCATTTCCAAAAAAATGTTTGCATGCAGTTCTTGCCAGCAGAAACTGCAGCCCTGCTTATCATGGGTGGTACAGGCACTTCACACGTGAGCTGCGCAATGGGGCTCTGCAGTGGGTATGAGTAAACGTTATCCATTTGAAAATAAGCTCCTGCTTTGTCATCCCAGATCAGACACCAGTTTCTGCCATCTCAAGTCTTCCCTTTGCCTGTCAAAGAGGGAGAAGGAAAGCCCTGACAGGGGATGAGGGGCCAGCGAGAGCCTGGGGCTGGGGAGCTCGGTGGGGGACTGTGGCAGGGCTGGGTGTGCACCCCCCAAGGAGACTGCTCAGTTGCCATCATAGTCCAAAGCCCATTGATTTTTTTTAATGCCCACAGTCCTCATAAGTGCCCATACCAGCCTTGTTGGGAAAGCTGGGGACAGGCGTGTTGCCTGAGTGCTCCCGAAACCAGCAGCTTCGCCAGGCGAGCTCCCTGCCAGCTGGGAGGGAGGGGAGGAGGGAGGACGGCAGCTGGCACCTGGGCTCTCGTGTCACATCCACCACCGCTGCTTGGCGTTAGTAGGTCACACAGCCTGATGGCCAGGATCTGCAGATTAGTCTGCTCTCGAGTGCTGCAGGAGCAGAGGGGCTGGATGACAGTCAGAGAGAGCTTGGTGTTTAAGAGAGTCGCTCTTTAGTGTAAGGAGATGATATTTTAAGATGGTTTTGCAAGCCTTTTCATTTCATCTGGGTTTCTTTAAAACATGCATCAAACTGTTCCCATCGCTCCCAGTGCAGGCAGACTCAGAGGCACAGTCTGCTCAGTAGCTTTTGCTTGTGGAAGGAAGATTTCGGATTTTTTTTTGCTTGACAGCCAGAGCAGTAGGTCCCCACCATTCCCCTGCCCCTGAGGGATTCTCGTGTCTCTAACTGGTGTAGCATGGCAGTGTCTCATGGGTTTTCTCTTATGATTCCTGAGGAGCAAAGATGTTATCTTCCTTTCTACGTGCTGCAGAGCCCACAGATGACCTGTGGGTGAACCAGGGCCTGAGCTACTCGTTGGAGCAATCCTTCTCAGCTTTTCACAACCTCCTTCAAGATCTCTGTGGCCTGTGGACATCCTACTAAATTCTGCATTGCTCATGACCAGGAATGAATCTTTATACTGTACTTGAGCTGGAGTATGGATCTTCTTAGGCAGCACAGCTCCAGGATTTTTTTTTAATTGGCGAACAGGTAGAGAGCAGAATATTTAGGGCTATAAACAATTTGACACCATTCCCACCTCTCTTTTGCACAGCGGAAAGCATGCAGGAATAGCTTTCCCCTTTATGCTCCCTTCATTCCAGCTGCTTTTCCCCCCTGAAGATATAATGAAAGCACAGGGTACTCACTGATGGTCAGTGTTGTTGTTCTCTGGGCCTGGTGGGCTTCTGGTTGACAAAGCCTGAGAAAGAAGAAAAGTCATGTATTTCAGTTACAACACTTTAAAGTTGAGGGCGGTGATTCTGCCCCTCTACTCTGCTCTGGTGAGACCCCAGCTGGAGTCCTGCGTCCAGCTCTGGGGTCCCCAGCACAAGAAAGACACGGACCTGTTGGAGCGGGTCCAGAGGAGGGCCACAAAAATGATCAGGGGGCTGGAGCACCTCTCCTATGGAGACAGGCTGAGATGATCAGGGGGCTGGAGCACCTCTGCTATGAAGAAAGGCTGAGAGAGTTGGAGTTGTTCAGCCTAGAGAAGAGAAGGCTCTGGGGAGACCTTACTGCAGCCTTTCAGTGTGTAAAGGGGGCTTATGAGAAAGATGGAGAGAGACTTTTTAGCAGGGCCTGTAGTGACAGGACAAGGGGTAGTGGTTTTAAACTAAAAGAGGGTAGATTTAGACTAGATCTAAGGAAGAAATTTTTTACGCTGAGGGTGGTGAAACACTGGCACAGGTTGCCCGGAGAGGTTGTGGATGCCCCATCCCTGGAAACATTCGAGGTCAGGTTGGACGGGGCTCTGAGCAACCTGATCTAGTGGAAGATGTCCCTGCCCATGGCAGGGGGGTTGGACTAGATGATCTTTAGAGGTCCCTTCCCACCCAAACCATTTTTTATTTCTATGAAATATATCTCTGTCTATAGTAGGCCATGTCTACCCTGGTTTAAACACTCAAACAACTTCTGTGGAGACAATACAAGTACAAGAGAGTCCCCTTTACTAACCACCCTTCTGCTAGCTCTGTTTCAGCGTTCAGAGCACCTGAGTGGCTGCAGGCTATGGAACTGAAATCACCGAACATTGACTCGTTAAACGTCCCAGTTTTCCCATGAATACACACTGCCCCGCCAGCTGACAGGTAGCAGTATGAAAATACCTGCTAAGGAAGAAAGTTATGCCAACATGGACCCAATTCTTTTCACCTGACACAGCCGTTTCCCTGCAATGGTTCATCTGGAGTGAAACATCCACCTTCCCTATGCTGGAAGCCCACAGAGTTTCCAATGGGACACAAGGGGGGCAACCAAAGCCAAACCTAATGGCATTTAAAATGGGAAGATGGTGGGACCCTGTGTCTGTCTGAGCCCGCAGTTGGACCAATAATAAAATGAACTCCCTGCAGCCAGATGCTACTGAGAAGAAGATAACTTTCATCTTTTTCCACTTCTTCACTGTACTCTTATGGGGAAAGGGAGGGGGACAGGGACAAGGGCTGTGGCTTTGCACAAAACTAGACCCATTTTGGCTTGCCGTTATTTTTTCAGAGCTGCAGTCCTGAAGCTGGTGGGCCTCCTTCATACAAGTTACCCTGAATTTCATGATGACACTAACAGATGTTAAACAGGTAGCACACAGAACCAAAGTGAGGACTTGGCTTTCAGAAAATAGAAATGAAAAGTTGTTCCATCAGCATGGAAAAGAGGAAAAGATTTTTCTGTAAAGAAATAAAGGGAAGCAAAGGAACCAGGGAGAAGTGTGGAAAAGCTTGCAGTTCGGAGCCATTGCCTATACATCTGCTGTGTAGTGTTTCTGCAGGGCTGGATGGAATCAAGTGATTCCTCAGTAAAATCACGTATCTGCTCTTGAAATAGGTCAAACCTGTGCTGCCTCAAGGTCCAGCAGTGCACGGGACTGGTACCAGTACGTGTGGGAGCTATAGAGGGGAGCTACCCCTCTATAGGCAGTGCCAGTACAGGGATGATGGCTTTATGCAGTTTTGAGCTAATTTAAATCAGTTGGTATCGGTCAGGCTTGTGTGTGCCGTCCGCTGGATAGAGATGTCCACCTGGCTGTCTGCTGTTATTGCATGGCACCTAATTTTAATTTGAGAGGAGATGTTTTCACTACAGTCCTTCCTTAGCTGCTTCACATGCAGACAGACAGGAGTTGAGGTTTAAATACAGTGGTCTCAGACTCTGCTAGGCAGATAGGGGCTTGGCAGCAAACTGTTCAGCTCTTCCTGCTTCTTGGGTGGGCTTTGTGCTGCCATGGTCACCTTTTGCAGGTGAGGTGGGGCTGCAGCAAAGACACCTCTCTCATGGCACTAGGTCAATGCCTCTTCCAGGTGAGTCCTAAGTAGCTTCCATTTCTGGACCTGGGAAAGGTGTCTGCTATCCAGAGTCTTTCACGTCCTAGCTGCTTGCTTAAGAATACAAACTAAATCTCTATGAAAGACTTGTAACATCTTTTGATACCTGTCAAAAGGCACTCCACTTCCTTTCAGAAGAGCCCCTGCTCTTTGGCAACACTTTGTTTTCTCTGGAAGAGCCTGAACTGTTCTAGAAACAGCTCCTGGGTCCAAGCGGAGATGAGGCTATGTGAGAAAGCTGACGGTGAGGGGAGAGTGTTCCCTCCTGGTTATTTAGCATCGTTTCTTGGCAATCTCCCACAAGCGACAAGAGCAAGCAGCAGTGCCAGGAGGATGCCATGCTGAGCTCTGAGGGCTGACGACTCCTGGGAGTGCACCCCACAACGGAGCCCCTTGTCCTCGCCATCACTATCACCCACCGGGCTACTGCTGCCACCACGGTTTCCTTCCACCAGGCGAAGAATAGCATTCATCCTTGGCACCAAGGGGAATACAGTTCTCCAAGAGTGCTTTGCTGCTGCTCTTCCACAGTGAGAATCCAGCTTCCAACACTTCTGTGCAAAGGATGGGTTTGGATCAGTTTAGGGAGGGGTTTGAATTGTACAGTAGGTTGTCTCTTTTTCTTCCCTTGTGGCTGACTCCTCCATATTATGAGCTGTACGTGTTGTGTGGGTGGAAGACAGAATTAATTAGTCATCAGGATGAAGCAGCTCTGGTTAGCAAAATCTGCTTCTCTGTGCAAAATCAGCTCCCACCTTCTCCAAGGGATCTGTCAGCAACAATGCTTATTTCCCAAGAGAATTTGGCATCGGCACAGGTAGATTTCTACCGACATTTAATCCGATGCATCAGGAAAAACTGTGGGGAGAGTGAAAACAAAAGGCACCTCCAGCCTCTGCCTCTCCACCGCTGTCAGAGCCTCCGCACTTCAGGAGCTGCTCCTAATTCGTCTGGGCGAATGACACGTGGCTCCGCGATGCCCGAGTGACATCATGTGCCGGGCAGGATGCGGAGCAGGGGCTGTTGCAGGCAGTGAGACATAATAAAAACTGACCCCACCCAGCCCGCTCAGGATTGCTGTAATGTATATGTTGCAAGTTCAGCAGATAATTAGTATTAGCCCTTTATGTGGGTTAAAATGATGCGCACATCACGACACTTTAATATTATGGGTTCCTATCCTACAGCTGAATAAGTAATTGCCGGCCTGGTTGGCTTATGCCCTGTTAAGAGATAAATGAAGTCAGCTTCTCCTTTCTGCAGCTTGCAGTCATCTTTTTATTACTCATCCAGACTGCAGCGTGTCTCCTTGTTTTCCACCCTGTTCCCAGCGTAGCCATCTCGTACTGGGGTCTGTTGTGCTACAAAGCCCCACATCGCCACCTCCGCCAAGTTTAAAGGCTTGGATATTAAGCTCACCCAGCATGTACTTGGGTTTAATTTAACATAATGAGATGTGAGGTGGAGTGGTTTAACAGCTGTTGCACACACAGTTCAGCCGCCCTTTATGTTAGGGCAGTGGCTCCTGGGAGCAAGGCGGAGCAGAGAGCTGGAAGCAGGAGCTATTTCTCTTTACCGTGTGCATGAACCAGCGCTCCTGGGGTGCAGCTTCCCACTCCCCTCAGCCTGGTGCGAGCTGTGGCTGGTGCTCCTCATCCATCCTGCCAGTCCTT